TGACGGTGGAGGCAGGCCCAGCTCCCAGCCTTCCCCTGCTCCGATCTCTCCAGAGGGCGAGGGCACGGCCCCCATGGATTTCCTCGCGCGGCAGAAGCCACTCGGTGAGGCGAGGCAAGGCGCTCCCCCTTCTCTGCCCCTTCGGAGCACAGTAGCTCTGCTCCAGCGCCCCCTTTTCCTGCAGCCCAGGGCCCCGCTGGCTCTGTGGGTCTTTGCCTCTTTGGGCAGAGGCAGGGGCTGTTCTGCCCCGTCGAGGACGAGGGGACCAAGAGCTGAGCCCTGCCCGCAGCCCCAGTTGATGGGGAAGCACAGCAGGGCTTGGCTGTGGCACCAAGCAGGCCGCAAGGCGAGTAGCAGGAAGTGGTTGAAGAACTTCTAAAACTTTGTCTCAAATAAGCCAGTTCTTTATTTATCTCTGGTTTTATTTCAGTCACCATTCGGTTCTCAAACATCTGATGTGGAATCCCCTCATGTATGCAACGCTTCAGATAATCTGCGTTTTACTCCAGAATGAAAAAACAAAGGGTCTGTGTTGGTGGTTTTTTTAGTCGAAGATTAATATAGCATTAATGAACATCTGATTGTCCTGGATTTAACTTGCGTGAAAGAGCATAGTGCGTAAGGATTGGAAAAGTGAATCGGGAAGTAATAAACCCAATTAAGATGGAAGCAAAAATGGAAAAATACATTTGAAATGTTATGTATGGCATGTGTGAGTGACATGAGTAATGAAGCTGCTGAAATGAAGCCCTGAGTAACGCGTTAAAAAATTCTGTCTTGCCACAGATGGACCAGCCGTCTCCAACCTACATGCTTGCCAACCTAACCCACCTGCATTCCGAGCAGCTCCTGCAAGGCTTGAACCTCCTGCGCCAGCACCGCGAGCTCTGCGACATTATCCTCCGGGTCGGCGATGCCAAGATCCATGCCCACAAGGTGGTGCTGGCCAGCATCAGCCCCTACTTCAAAGCCATGTTCACGGGGAACCTTTCCGAGAAGGAGAACGCGGAGGTGGAGTTCCAGTGCGTGGACGAGGCGGCGCTGCAGGCCATCGTGGAGTACGCCTACACGGGCACCGTGTTCATCTCGCAGGACACCGTCGAGTCGCTCCTCCCGGCGGCCAACCTCCTCCAGGTCAAGCTGGTGGTGAAGGAGTGCTGCGCCTTCCTCGAGAGCCAGCTCGACCCCGGCAACTGCATCGGGATTTCCCGTTTCGCAGAGACCTACGGCTGCCACGACCTCTACCTGGCGGCCAACAAGTACATCTGCCAGAACTTCGAGGACGTTTGCCAGACGGAGGAGTTCTTTGAGCTCACGCATTCCGAGCTGGACGAGATCGTCTCCAATGACTGCTTGAACGTCGTGACGGAGGAGACCGTGTTCTACGCGCTGGAGGCCTGGATCAAGTACGACGTGCAGGAGCGGCAGAAGTACCTGGCGCAGCGGGCTCCGCCTGCCGCTGCTGAGCGTCAAGTTCCTGACGAGGCTGTACGAGGCGAACCACCTCATCCGGGACGACCACACCTGCAAGCATCTGCTGAACGAGGCCCTGAAGTACCACTTCATGCCCGAGCACAGACTCTCCCACCAGACCATGCTGATGACGCGGCCTCGCTGTGCCCCTAAAGTCCTCTGTGCCGTGGGAGGGAAAGCCGGCCTCTTCGCCTGTCTGGAAAGGTAGGGGACGCTTCAGGCGCGGCAGCCCTCGGCTCGTGTCGCCCCCACGCGTGTGTGTTGTCCCCCTGGGTCAGGGCAGCGTTAAGGCAGGCAGGAGGGGCTGCGGGTTCAGGGCTGTGGTTAACGTTTTCCTTCATAAATAGATTTTTTTGCTGAGGAAGGACGAGCGCTGAATTGGAAATGCTTTTTGATTTCGTGAGTAATCTGCAGTGTTGTGGGGTTTTGTTTGTGCCAACGAGAATGGCTACAAAATCTTATCATTTTGATTCTGTTGATTGCTTAATAAGTGATTAATGGAAGTTTGTGTGCTACTTCTTGATCCTCTCAGACCTTTTCGTTTTACAGAATTTTTTCCTGATCTATTATTATTCCAGACAATCAAATCATAAAATTCAACTAGTATAGGACAAATATGCTTCCAGGTAACTCCAAAGTCCTTGCAATTAAAGCAGACTGAATCAGAGAAGAGCAGAGGCCATCCTTAGCCGTGTCACGTTCCCGATGGTAACGCGATCACACCGCTGGTCGCTGAGCGGGTGTCCGTGCCCTGCGGGCGGGAGCAGGTACCTGCCCGGCTTTCCTTACCCAGCTTTCCAAAGGAACCTCCCCCCGAGCTGCTGGAGTACATCACCGAGGCTCGTCCTGTGAGCAAAAGGGATGTCACGGGGAGAAAACCAGCTTGCTGGTGTGGTTGGGGTTACTGGGACCGCGGTGTCAACGCTTCCAGGAGCGGCGGTGAAGCGAGGGGTGGCTCTGCCCGCGTGCGGGTCCTGTGCGGGCACAGGCGGCGGTGCCGGACGGGCCCTCGTCACCTCGGGACGCGTTTGCTGCCTGGGCTGGTTCTGCAGCTGGGGCCCGGGACAGGGCTCTGCTCCCAGGTGCTCTTGCCTGGGACAGTTCCCCGCTCGCATACGGATACACGCGCTGCAAAGCCTGGGAGGGTCTGTGTGTTCCTCTTCCCGGCGTCTGGAGGTGGTGTCAGAGTTACTTAAGTTGGCTTCCCCCATGATAGGGGTCGGTGGTGACTGGATGTTGGGACTGGGAGTTGCGGGTTTATGCATTTCAGAAATAAAAGGGGGTTTGTGCTTAATAAAAAACCTGTTTGAGTGAATAGTCGTCCTCTGATATCCTTCAGCTCTTTCTTTCACAGCTTCTTTGGTTGTAACAATATTAGATACCGGTGTAGTTTGGCTCTTTTTGGTTTATTTTTAGACAAAAATGCTCTTTACTACTGTTAACCATGATTTAATGCACACAAAAATTAGCTTTTCCTTAATTTATTATTCATAGTAGTCTTTCCTAAACTGTTGTTTCGGATAATACTTAAGTTTAAACAATTGCTTTTGACATGCAAAAAAAAAAAAAGTCAGAGTTCGATTAAACAAACAATTCCGAATACAATTAAAATTGTGAAGTAGGAAACGAATATTCTGGTGGTTCTTTTCGTTTGCCCGTGCGGAAGGCTGCCTTCGCACTTAGAGCGACCCGCTGCTTCCCTGTAGCGACCGCGCTCGGAAGGGAGCGGGACTGGCTGTGTTCTGACGGGGCTGCTGCTGCCGAGAGCCAG